TGCAATCCCCTTACCGGTCACAAAAAAAGACCAAAAAAAAAAAAAAAAAGTAAAAGATAGAAGCAGAGCTGCTCTTGTTGAGAATGAGGTAAGGATACCCCAAGCCTTTGTACTGGTTCCTTCTGTCTTTTCCCCTAAGGTTTCTTTGAGCATTGTTTGAAAATTACTGCAAGAAATAGTGACTGGATTTCCCTAAATAGGGAGTAGTGCCACGGATGATATGTCCAAGGGCAGAACATAATTTTGGCTTTAATTGCATAAAACGACTTTAGTTTCTTATTGGAATGACAAATTTGTTTATTTTTAAAAACTTTGTTGTTTAAAGAATATTCATGTTAATCTAAGTATGCATAATATTTATTTTAAAAATTAACCTAAAAAGTATAGTCCTGCCCACTAGTTAATCTAGTCTAAAGACACAATGGACATAAAAACTATCAATTCTCCCCTCAACCTCCTTAGTAATCTCCTGAGACTTAATCCCCACTGCTTTCCAATTTGTTTGCACATGTGCTCATTAAGTAGGACAATTTAATTGCCAATGTCCTTCACCACCTGGCAGTAATCTCCTGAGACTTAATCCCCACTGCTTTCCAATTTGTTTGTTTGCACATGTGCTCATTAAGTAGGACAATTTAATTGCCAATGTCCTTCACCACCTGGGAAAGGGCTTTCCTCGCTGTCATTCTCTATTGCCAGGTACATGGCTCCATTTTGATTCACAGCACTTAACACTGCATGACATATTTACTTATTGTCTCCTCAACCCTACCTAGAATGCCTGTAAGTAACAGGAGCTCACTAAGTGTTGAGTGAGTAATTGTTCTAGTCTCTGGATCTAAATTTCTATGATGATAAGGATTTGTGCAGGAGAAATCTACTGTGCTAGTGGTATCATTATCCCTTTCAACACTATATAGCAATACCATGGCTAATAATGAAGATGATATATCATTCTCTGAAATTTCCTTTCAATTTAGTTTAGTTTCGGATACCATACCAGGTACTGAGGAAATGACAGAGAAGTCTATGAGGAGTTTGGGATGATTCTCAGGTAGCTAACCAACCAGGTCACCACTTCCATTGGATCAATTGGCTCATTTTGCAGTCCCATTTAATACTGTGAGATCCCTACACAAAAGTTAAGTTTTAGATGAATCAAAGATTTAAACATAAAAATCAAACCATATGAAAACAAGAAAAAAATGAGATTTTTAAAAAAAGATATTATAGTAGAGAAAGCCTTTTAAAATATAACGCCAAACCCAAACACTTGACTACATAAAAATAAATTTAAAAGCAGAAGCCTCCTTCCATTGCAGCCCCGCCCAAAAACCTACTTTTAACAAAATCAAAAGACAGTCTGTGAAAAAGTATATGCAACTCACATTTCAGACAAATAACTAATTTCTTTAATGCGTAAAGGCATCCTAGAAATCAATTAAAAAGACCAACACCCCCAATACAAAAGCGGGCAAAAGATATGAATAGCAATTCACAGGAAGAAAATGCAAAAGGTTCAATCTCACTTATAATGACGGAAATGCAAACTAAAACAACAAGTTGCTATTTTTCACTTAGACTGACAAGGATCAGAAACTTTGATAATATGTTGTTTTAATGAGGACATAGAAAAGAATCATATACTGGGGCATAATTGGTACAGCCGCTGTGAAGAGCAATACATCAATATCTATCAAAATAAAAAAAGTAAATATCCTTTGACTCTATAATTCTAGTTCTAGGATTTATTCCACCTGCACTTATTCAAAATGAACTAAGTATAAGGATATTTGTAGTAGTATTGTTCAGAATAACAAAATATTTGAAGCAACTTAAATACCCATCAGTAGAAGACTGGTAAAGAAATTATGCTATATTATACAATGAAATATCACATAACTTAAAATGAATGAGGCAGCACTATGTGTACATCTAAAATATATTGCAAAGTGAAGAAAAGCAGGGTGCAAACAAAAAGTATGCATTTATTTAACAGAAAGGAAGTTGATTCGCATATATGCTTGTGATGCATACACTATTTCAGGAAGCATATAAAAAAACCAGCGGTAGCAGTGGTTGCTTCTCTGAAGGGAATTATCTGCCTGAAACATGGGAGGAAGGGAGGCTTACTTTCAACGTTGTCACTTTTTTTTTTTTACCTATTTATATTTTATATTATGATAGACATACATTACTAATTAAAAATAAATGAATAATTTAAAAAAAAACATTTATGTGCTTTATATATATTTATTTATTTATTTATTGAAGGCTGGCCAATAAGGGATAGGAACCCTAAAAATATTTTTAACGTACAATTTAATTCTTAGTCTTTTAAAGAGTATGGTGACTACTTCTTCTCTCCTTTATGTTATATGAGGATACTTCAAAAAGTTCATGGAAAAATAGAATTAAAAGATAAGGCGAATCTTTCCATAAACTTTTTGAAGTACACTCGTATATGCTGAACATTTCCAAAAAGTCATAATGAATATTCGAAGGTGGTCACCGTTCTACTATGCAATTTTACTGTTGGTTATTTAGACTTTCTTAAAAGAATGTTTATTGTTAATCTGTATTTTTCTGCTTTTAACCTCTATTCTTCAAATTATTCTTTCATCAAAAAAAGTTTAAAATTTTTTTCAATTTTTATTACTTTATCTTTACTAGAAACCAGGAAAGACCTTTAAAAGGAAATGAAGAAAAATGATTATATTGTGTAATGTTGAATATAATAATTATCCTGATTTCAGCATCACATATTGCATACAGGTATTGATATTCAACGCTTTGCACCAGAGATATGTTCAATTGTGTTTCAATAAAAAGAGAAAATTTAAAAAAAAAAATAAAAGGAAATTAAGGAAGAGAAGGGAGACAGAACCTTAAAACATTAAGAGCCTAGGGGAAGAAAAATATTCCACAAAGTTTGAAAGAAATTACGGAAAAGGTGTTTTCTCAACAAAAAGATTTGCAAGAAAAATTTCTAAATTCCCCTATTGACAAAAGTCTATTTAGTTTTTCTAAAATAATTATTTCTGTTCAGTTTGCATGTCCCCTGCCCCACCCTGCCCATGAAGAGAAACAGAGAAATGAGGAAGTCAGCCTGAAAATGGGAGTAAACTGTGCCAGCAGGATGCAGCTGAAAAGGAAAATACTTTTAAGTATTTTTCAGGGAAGAAGCTAATGACAAGAGCTGGGGACGGTGCACGTAACGACACAGTGAAGAGAAGAGGGCAGAACAAGAGATCACAGACCAGGAAGCTCTGTCACTCCCACAGCGGCTCCCTCCACTCGGTGAGGTCACTGGAGAGGGATCAGCCGTAGGCTCCGCCCAGCTGCTCACACGTTCCGGGGGCGGGACTTGGAGGACTGAAGCAGAGATACTTGATTTCTCTAGGAAGAAAAAGCTGGAGGGCACAGGTGAACATCTGAAGACTTTTAATCATTCCACTGAAGTTTGAGCGGTTTTGCTAGAAGAAGGAAGGATAACTCAGTAACATAAATACTGCGCAACAATTTGAAAATCAACTGGAAGTCATTAAGATTACAATAGAACCTGTACAGCAATAATTCATTTAATGCAACTAAAGGCTAACTGGCTATATAAGCAAAAACTATAAATTATATTACACTAGCTATCAATTACATTATACTATTCAAAGGCATATACATAATGACTAAGGATTGTGACATTGGAACTATATACTGCCTAGGTTCAAATGCTAACTCAGGCACTTTCCAACTGGGTGATCAGTTTAGATCCTTGCTTAAACTTCCACCTTCGTATTCTTCATGATATTTTGCACATAATATTGAGTGCTCAATGTCAATTGATATTTAATATTAGTGAAATCTGTCACTAATTTTCAAACTATTCAATTATCAAGGGTTTTCTTTACTGCAGAAGAGTATCTAAATATAAAAACATGAATAGTGGCTTGAGAATGATTAAACACATACTAAGTAATTTTCTATCCCATTTCTTGCATTCAATTTACACTTTGAAAGTTCAATAGATACTTTCCTTGCACATTCACTAAATTCTTTAATTCCTTCATCAGATATTTATTGAACCCTTATTTTGTTCTAGGTATTACAATGGAGCCTAGAGACAAACTACAAAACATGATAGAGACTTGGGAAGAAGCATGAAGTACTAGGGTGGCATCTACCTTGGGGGAAGTGGATAGAGAATTCAGGGAAAATTTAAAAAGGAGAAACCCTAGAGGGGTTACCTTAAGGATAAATGAAATCATCACAATTTTGTTTCCTAACGATGAAAATTACTTTGAAAATATTCTATTAAAATTCAACCAGTAAAGTCTTGTAACCATACACACATTTGCACACATATACACACAAAACAAACAAAAAACCGTGGTTTGTATTGACCTTGACCATGATTATATAAGCCAAATAATTCAAGTGCAGACATAGAAATTCCCATTTCAGATATTCGGTTTACACAAAGACCACTCATCATTTATATGCAGAAGGTTCATCTACGCCAATGTATTTTAACAATCTTGAGTGTAAACGTGGAGTTAAGTTTATAACTACTGTTTGATGCCACATTAAATCACAATATGATATTATACAAGGTTCAAATGATTTGTAGAGTCAGTGAGAAGTTCATGAAGACAGAGTCATATGCTCAACTTCAAAAAAGAGCTGGAGCTTGCACACTCAATTTTCCCTTTCAACAAGTTTTTGTGTTAACTTCATGGCCACTAAAAATCAGAACAAGTTCAATTTTCACCAACTCAAAGCTAAATCAAACCTTTTAATGGTTATTACCTACGCATTCATATTTAACAGCTAGTCTTTAGAGGAAGGGACCATCTCATTCTCTTAATAGTGTGTATGGAGTAAGGCCCATAACAGGCTTTGAAATACCGAACTGGACACACTTGGATAAATTTCTAAAATTTCTTAATACGTTTTGCTAACATAACTTTGCTTATATGACATTATGAATATAGGACAACAAAACTACTTAAACTGTTAACCAGAAAGCCAAATCGATCTGCATCTTTAATATGTCTGTTTAGTAAAACTTTACTTCAATTTGTAAAAATACAATCTACTAAAAAGCACTAAAACTAGTGGCTAGCTTTAAGTTAACATTTTCATTGCTAGTGTTGCTATTTCCTCCAATGTTACATATTTTAAAAAACTATAAGGTTTAAACACAAACAAAATCAGTTTTTAAGAATTGGAATTGTAATCTACCTACAAACGTAAATTTTACCTATTTTTTTCTTGCAAAAGATGTAATTTTCTCCTTCCTTCTATTTGAGGAAAAGAGCTTATCTTTGAAGAAACAACTGCTGAATTTGCAGGATCTTTTGACTACTTCTAACTACATGCCTTATTACCACACAATTAAATTAGTTAAACAAGAGCTGTCTCCCTTCTCCAAGGATCCACGAGAGGCAGGACCGTACTTAGCTTCTGGAGATTACCAAGTCCATGCCCAGAAATCCTCCAGAGGGTCAGCCCTGGTGGGGGACTCTGAAGAAGCCAGTCTGGGTTTAGTCCTCAGTCTTAGGTACCTACATCCTTTCCATCCACCCTCTTGGCCAGCTGGTTCTCCCAGTCCAGAACGGTAACCCAAAGATACTGACAGCATTTAAAATACGTATTTAATGTCCTACGCACGTTTGCATTTTGGAAGTTTTCTTAAAAAAAAAAAAAAAAGAAAAGAAAAAAGAAACAGACTCTGGGCCACACCACCCGGAGACACTGGCCCGCCAGCTTCTCCGCCTCGCCAAGCCGGTGGCTCAGCCCGCTGTCATCCAGGGTCTCACGGCTCCGTACAGTTGGCCAATAGTGTGCTAGCACACTATTGGCCAACTGTACGGAGCCGTGAGACCCTGGATGACAGCGGGCTGAGCCACCGGCTTGGCGAGGCGGAGAAGCTGGCGGGCCAGTGTCTCCGGGGGGTGTGGCCCAGAGTCTGTTTCTTTTTTCTTTTCTTTTTTTTTTTTTTTAAAAAAAAAAAAAAAAAAAAAAAAGAAAAGAAAAAAGAAACAGACTCTGGGCCACACCACCCGGAGACACTGGCCCGCCAGCTTCTCCGCCTCGCCAAGCCGGTGGCTCAGCCCGCTGTCATCCAGGTTCTCACGGCTCCGTACAGTTGGCCAATAGTGTGCTAGCACTCTAGACAGCGCGATGACGTCACTCCGCACATGCGTAATGACGCCAACGGCGTCACCGTCTCCAAGGAGCGGTCCCGGGCACCGGTTTCAAAGTCGCAGGGCGGGCCGAGTGGACTTACGCTGCTGTCCCAGGGCTTCCCGGCCGTCCTGGCGTCGTACCCCTATTCCGCGAAGGACGCCGCCACCAGGTTGTCCTCCAGCTCCCTCGGCGCTCTACTACGTGGCCCCACAAGACCCCGAGTGACCCTCGGGACGCCTTCATTGACCCGTGTCCCCACCCGGCTGAGATTCAGTTGAACGTGGAAGGGAATTCACTTGGCGCGCCCTCAGCAACCCTGAAATCTGAAGTCCTATCCTGGGCAAGGGACTCGTCTGGTACTCGGGAGAAGGAAACGCGGCGAGGCAGACTGGCGATGCAGCTCGAGTGCTTAACAACCTCCGGAGCGTTGCTTTAGTTTTGTTTTCCCGCACAGCGAGCTCTGTGTCTTTTGGAAGAAGGTAAAGGTGGTGAAAGCTCCAGACTAGACTTGTGTCGAAATGGCCACAGAAATCGACTTTCTGAGAGATCAAAGTAAGCTCCATACTTCTTTATTGAGAACTCATAGGTAATGTTTAATGTCGTCATCGTTGACCAACTAATATTTTTTGAATGCCTGTTGGGTGCGTGAAAATTTGTAAAAAATTGAACTTAGCTGCAGAAAAAGCTTGGTGGTATGCATTATAATGTGTATATGCTTAATTAAGCAGAACCGTCTGGTAGATACAGTGCTTGTAGGTTCCTTAAGTTTACATAGGACTCTACTACTAGACACTAAACATATTTGTTATGCTCCACTCGTGCTCTCAAGAAATTAGAGGGCCAATGGCTGGGAAGAGTTTCCAAGTCTTCGGTTAGAATCTAGCCATTTGTTCAAAAGATGTTTATTGAGCTCCTCCTGTTTCTATTATGTGCCAGGCACTGTACAAGCATAGCTGCTACAAAGATGAAGAGGTCAGTTTTACCCTCCAATTTAATTTGAGAAGGGAAATATATAAATTCCATAAATACACTGAATGGCAACAACTGCCAACTCTTTTGCCTCAGTTTCCTCATAGAGTTGTTGGAAAGATTAAATGAGTATTAAAATATGTGAAGGATTTAGAAGAGTATCTGATACATTGTGCTAAACAATTATTAGCTATTACAGAATTATTATTAAACTATGGTCAAAGAAGGTACCATTTGGGCTGAAACTTAAAGTACCAATATGATTTTACTATATAAAGAACTTTGTAGATATCTCAAATAGAACAGTATTTGCAACACTGAGGGGATTAGGAATACACTTTGTTAAAGACTCGCAACATGGTTGGCTTGAATAGATTGTGGAGGTTCGTATAGATGGTCTCCAATTTATGATGGTTTGACTCAATGATTTTTTAACTTTACAATGGTGCAGAAGCTATAAACATTCAGTAGTGACTGTACTTAAAGTACCAATACAGCCATTCTGTTTTTCACTTTCAGTACAGTGTTCAGGCAATTACATGAGATATTCAATACTTTATTATAAAATAGGTTTAGATGACTTTGCCCAACTGTAGGCTAATGTAAGTGTTCTGAGCATGTTTAAGGTAGGCTAGGCTAAGCTATGACATTCGTAGGTTAGGTGTATTAAATGCATTTTCGACTTAATATTTTAAATTTACCATGGGGTTATTGGGATGTAACCCCATCATAAGTCAAGGAGCATCTGTGTAGGAAAATGGTAAGTGGAGCTGAAGGGATAGAATGGGGATGTTCGTGAAGGGCCTTGTCTTATGTGTGTTAAGGAGTTTGAACTGTTGCACAGGTTATAGGAACCACTGAAAGTGACATGATTAAATTGTGATTTAGAAAGCCCAGTCTGGCTGTCATGCGGAACATGCATTATGGCAGAGTACAGTTAGGTGACTACTGTTGTTATCCAGGTAAGAAGTGAACTAAGGTGTGTGCTGAGAGAGTGGAGATCACGGGATTTGAGAGAAAGAGGTAAAGGGCAACTCAGGTTTTTGGCTTGAGCAACAGGGAAGGCAGAAAAAAGGTAACAAGTTTCATTTTGGAAGCATTATAGACCAGTGGTTAAGAACTCAGCCTCTGGATTTAGTCTGCGTGGGCTCGTAGCCTAGTTCTACCTCTTTCCAGGTCTTTAACCTTGGGCAAGTTTATTAGCTTCTCTGTGCTTTTGTTTTCTCATTTGTAAAATGAGTAGAAGAACACAATAACCCTCATGGAGTTGTGAGGAGGCTTAAATGGCATGATGCAAATAAAGCACTTAGCATGGTGTCTGGCACATATAAAGTGCATAGTATATATTATCTAAAATAATTGATGACACTGTAATAGAACTATAACATTAGCATTATTTTTTTACGTTTGAAGTGGGAATATCCTCACACCATAAAGACGGCTAAATGGCTACCATCTGAGTGGTGTGGGGCAGGAACTGGGTGGTGAGGAGTTTGGCTAGGGAGGGGAGAGTACCTGAGGCACTCAGAAACTACGAGCTTAATAGAATGAGCCAGCCAGAATTAGAAGAAATTGAGGTCCAAGTACTAGAGAGAACCAAATAAGACAGTTAAAGTACAGTAAAATATTTATTTCTTGAAAAATGAGTGGTATAGTTCACCGGAAGACAAGTGCAGTGGAAGAAGGGAATCTCAAACAGAAGGGGCAGAAGCAGTAAAGGCTCAAAAGCTTAAGATAACTGTGTTTATTCAGGATATTGGAGCATGAGATGGTGGGGGTTGCATGAAAAGATTAGAATGAGTGTTGGGTGCCTGTGACCCTCTCCTTTTTTCTTTTAAGTGGATTTGCATGCCAATTAAAGGTGGTGGGTTTCCCCATTAGAAGAACCACCCCAAACACCAGCTCAGATAAAGATGGATGGCTTGTCTTCCTCCCACCTGCTTCTGACCTTTTCTACATTGACGTCTGTTAATCTTGATTGCCTCTTTTCATTTGTTCCATTTGGATTTGATAGCCTAGCTTAAGACCATTTATTTTGGTACTTCTCTGCTGGCAACCCCACATGACATTGCCTGTGATACTCTTTCAGCTTTCAACATATAACCACAGGCAATTCCACACCCCACCAGGCTTCTAATAGAGTAAACTTCTAGCAGTGCATCATTCTTCTACTTTCATTTGGGAAGGGAGATATGATAGTCCTTAGGGTCCTGTTCAAAGAGGGACTTGTATAAGGAACAAAGAATTTATTCTTGTAGTGGGGTTCATGGGTGGTTGTGATGCACTCATTTTTTCTTTTCATTCTAACAGTGTTTTTCACAGAGCAGAAGCTTTTTTGTTTTTTTTAATGTTAATAATATATTTTATTTAACCTAATATATCCAAATGTTATCATTTCAACATGTAATCAATTTCAAAATTGTTAATTATCTATGTTACCATTAACTTGAGGATAAATAACTCAGTAAATTTATCATATAAATTTAATGACTTTTTTCCCACTGTCTTTGAATTCTGGGGAGTATTTTAAACTTATAGCACATCTCAGTGAGACAAGCTATAATTCAAGGGCTCAAGAGCCACATGCAGTTAGTGGCTGTAGTACTGCAAAGCAGATATAGACAAGCTGAATATGGTAGAAATGAGCCATCTTCTTGTACTTAGATAAAAGGTATTTTGAGGGCTGATGGACCCTTCCCTGGCACCAGTTACTTCTAATGCTTTAGAAAAAGGAGATATATATACATATATATAAAGTACGTGTATATTTCTGTATATACATATGAGATTATATGTAGAGGTTTGCCCCTTATCTAGAGGTTTGCCCAATATCCTTAATTGTTTGTAACAGTCATGAGCTTGGAAAGGTCTTCAGGCCAATATGGATAACTTCTAATTTCTATGAACAGTTCTTGTTTGTAGAAATGTATGCTCAGTCCCTTTCTTCCCCGCAAACAAGAAAACCTAAAAGCAACTTTAAGAGCCAAAGGTCCTCAACACCCAGGTAGCCAGAGTGAGACCTCCACCAGGAGGGGCTCAAAAGGAAGCAGTTATAGGCCAAGTGTATTTATGCATTTCCCATTTCCCAAGTGGGACGGACTTCCTCACCCAGCTGAGCTGTGTCTTAATGTGGGCAACATTAAATCTAGCCTCCTGCACTTCATGCTCCTCCCTCCCCTCTACATCTCTGACCTCTGATCCAAGGCGCCAGGAAAGAGGAGCTGCAGAATAGATGAGCAGAAGTTTTTAATTCTGATGAAGTTCAATTCATCAATTTGTTCTTTTATGAATCATGCTTTTGGTGTTGTATCTAGGAAATCATTGCCTAGCCTGAGGCTGTGAAGATTTTTTTCAATGTTTTCTTCTGGAGGTTTTATAGTTTTAAGTTTCACATTTAGATCTGTAGTTCAGAGTTAAATTTTATGCAAGGCAGGAAGTAAGTGTTCAAGTTCACTTTTTAAAAAATATAGATATTCAGTTGAAAAGACTATCCTTTCTCCATTGAATTGCCTTTGCACCTTTGTTAAAAATCAGTTGTCCATCTATATGTGCATCTATTTCTGAACTTTATTCTGTTTCACTGATCTATTTGCCTGTTTGGACACCGATACCCCACTGTCTTGATTATTGCAGCTTTATAAGAAGTCTTAAAATCAAGTAGTATTAGCCTTTTAAATTTATTCTTTTTCACAGTTTTTGGCTATCCTAAGTCCTTTGGGCTTCCATATGAATTTTAGAATCAGTTTGTCAGTTTCTATATTTAAAAAAAAAGGTGCTGGGATTTTGATAGGCGTTGTATTGAATCTATTGATCAATTTGTGTAGAATTCATGTCTTGATGATATTGAGTCCTGTGACCCATGAAAAGGTATACGTCTCCATTGATATATCTTTTCTTTAAGTTCTCTCAGCAGTATTTTGTAGTTTTAAATATAGATTTTGCACATCCTTTGTCAGATTTATCCCTATATATTGAAGTGTTTGATACTATTGTAAATAGTATCTTTTACTTTCAGTTTCTGATTTTTCATTGCTAGCATATAGAATATACTTTTTTTTTTTTTTTTTGCATATTGTACCCTGCAACCTCGCTAAACTCATTTATTAATTTCAGTAGGTTTTTTGTAGGGCCCATCAGATTTTCTACATACATGATCTTGTCATCTAAAAATAAATACTGTTTGACTTCTTCCCTTCCAGTATGAGTGCCTTTCATTTTGTTTTCTTGCCCTATTGCACTGACTAGAATCTGCAGGACAGTGTTAAACAGAAGTGATGGAAATAGACATCCTTGTCTTGTTTCTGATCTTAGGGAGAAGGCATATCTTTAAGAATTAAGGATGAAACACTAGCTAAGGATGTTCCTAGCTATAGGTTTTTCATAGATGTTCTTATTATGTTGAGGATGTTCCTTTCTATTCCTAGTTTGCTGGAAGTTTTTATCAGAATGGATGGTGGGATTTTTTTCAAATGCATTTTCTGTGTCTATTGAGATGATCAGATTTTTTTTTTTTTTCATTTTTAGTTTGTTAATAGGGTGAATTACATTGATTAATTTTTAAATGTTAAATCTACCTTGCCTTT